CCCCAAAACCCCAAAACCCCAAAACCCCAGGTATTAAGGGATATATTGATACATATGATTATATATATTAAAAATAAATGCCAAAAATTCAGAGTATGGCAAAAAATATGGTGAAGTCCATAGATTTGTTTCCAAGGCCTATTAGCCTGACTTATCAAGGCAAAGAAAACTTCAAGTCTCTGTATGGAGGAATAGTTAGTACTTTCCTCATAGCTTTACTTATTTCATACGGAATTCTGATTGCAATTCCTATGCTCAAGCATACTGCTTCTAGTAAAGCAAAATAACCATGTGTTGAGGGACCAAAGTAGTGAGGTTGACAAGTACCAAACCACAGAGAAGGATTTCTCATTCGTTGTGCAAATAGTGAATTCTGAAACCAGAATAGCACTAACAGATCCAAGCTATTTCAACATTTCTATTTCTCAATCTGATTTCAGCTTTAACAAAACAATTGCTCAATTCCAGGAGACTAATATAGAGAAAGAGATCTCTATCTGAGGAGAGAAATTCCCAAAGGTAAACGAATATATTGACGAGACTTCATCTATCCTCAAAGGGATCAGTTATTGCCCACATGATTACGACTTTTTAGTTGCAGGTGATGTCTTTGCAAGTGTTAGCCAGAGCATTAAGATCACTGTAAGCCGGTGAGTAAATGGAACCTCGATTATTTGTAAGAGCATGAAAGAGATTAACGAGAAGGCTTCTTTAATGTCTGTAAATGTGCTGTTTATTTCACAATATTTTGACTCAGATAACTATAAAACTCCAATTAAGAGTTTCTTAGATAATAGGTACTCGTTGAAAATGGCAGCTGGATTCAAGAAAACATCAAATTTATTCCTGAGGAAAAGCAAAACATCTAGAACTGATTCAATATTCCCCTTCGCTGGTGATGGAGAAGATGAGTTTTACTCTGTTGGAAATTCTCAATTTGATTTTGGAGTTGAGCAAGAAAGTGAAAATATACTTGCTAAATATACAATTTATCAAGACAGAGTCCAGGATGTATATGAGAGAAGAGTATATTCTTTACTGGACTTCTTTGGTCAGCTTGGAGGATTCTTTGAGATACTTACTCTAGCAGGAACCTTTCTTGTGCATTATTTTGCAGATAAAATTTACAGATACTCTTTGTTTACTGAGCTGTATTGAGTTGATTCTGATGAAATTGAACTGAGAAAAGTAAATTCAAAAGTTGCATCGAAATCACCAAAGCATTTGAATTATACAAGAGAAATATCTAAAACTAAACATGATACAAACAATAATGATAAAGATAAAAGTGAAATCAAAGAGAGAGCTTCTAGGAATTATAGGAAGCATAGTTTAAAATAACGCCAGTGTTGTAGATAAAGTTAAATCTAAGATTATCTCCAAGAGTCGCTTTCATTACACTGCTAATGACTACTTTAAATCCTGTCTTCCCTTCATCAAAAGCAACACCAGCCGTCAATTCGACTTTCTCAATCATAGACTTAGGTAAGCTTCAGATAACTTGTAGTCAAGAATGAGACTTGCCATCTATACTCTGTGCCATTCGTCAACTCAGAAGGCTGGTTAGCTCTACTCTGAGCAACCACCAGCGCTTGATGCTGAGCTTTTGATCCCAAAACAGTATGTTTTCCAAACCAGAAGACTCTCAGCCGCTGCAGCCAGGTAATTTTTATGATGATGTGTAGCTGATTTCGCTGTTGCAGGTCAACCCAATTCAAGTAAAGTGAAGGCAGTCATCGAAACATTGGAAACAATGATAGAAAATATGGAAGAGCAACAACTTCAGAGAGATGGTAAGGACAGCATTACACATAGCTGAGACAATTTTGGGGATCACCATTAGTTCTTCGAACAATACAGATGAAGAAAGAGTATCAATTATTGTAAATCTTTGAATAATATTGATAGAAAGAAGGAGAAAATTCTAATATAGGCCTAGTTGATCAGGAAGAAGACAGAAAAGACAATTGAGAAGATTTTGTTTGACAATATGTTGATCCGTAATTATTCTCTTAAAATATTAATTCAATAATTTCTGGCTCTTATGGGGTTTTGGGGTTTTGGGGTTTTGGGG